TAGCCTAAGTGGGCCGGGTTACCCTAATTTGGAGTAGCCGTAGTCACGTGCCACGTGACTTCCCCGGATAACAATAGACATTGAAAAAATCCGCAAGTAATGATCAACATATTACCATAAACATAAATTTATCTATTAGTGTGCTGCATACCTTAACTGATAGTACAACTCACCGATAAAGTAATTCTGGTCATTATCGTTAGGGTCAGAGTTAAGATTAGTGCAATTTATAAAAAAAAACTTGTCAGTGAATTAATTTTCGGTGAAACGTGACTGTAGTAACACGACTGTAGTGGCAGTGCAAGGACCCTAGCAGTTTATTACTTTTAACAAAAAATTGATATATTTTTATTTAGTATTAGTAAAACTTTTTGGGGTAAGCTCTAGAATGTTATTCTAAACAATTGCCCTTTTTTTATTGATAAAACTTCTTTGTGCAAGCTTTAGAATGTTCATTCAAACAATTCTATGCTAAACAATTGACTTTTTTTTATTGATAAAATTTATGCGAAATTTAGAATATTCATTTAAACGATTATATTCACAGTAAAAATATGCTATTATATACTATGTACTAGTTACGACTTTTATGTTGTCTTTATGTTTCCTTTTGTATAATAAAAATCCAATAAACGATGTAACTCCTATTAATATAATTCCACTTAAAACACCAATTCCTATAAGTAATCCGTTAACAGACGAAGAATTTAAAGGACTTTGAGATTTGTTTGTTTGGGTTTTTTGACTTGTTGAAGAACCTTTAGTTGTTATCACAGTATTATTTACGCCAACCCAAGTGTATTTTTGAGTATCAAGGATATAAATATTTTTATTATGTAAACCTCCAGTCGACGCTATAACTCCTAAACACATAAAATTATTATTGAATGATTTTGATACAGTGATCGTCAATAAAAGCAAGTTAATACGTAGTAATATGTAGTTACATACCAAATGCAACAACCATGTAATTTTTATAAAGTGCAGCGGAATGATAAGTAAGCGTGTGTGGAATATTTGCTGAAGGAATATTTGGTATAGACCATATCCAGGAATTTGTATTTAATATACAAAGATCAGGAGATGCTAGTGGACCCAGAATATCATCTTCTGAACCACCATATATAATAATATCGCCATTTTGATCTGACATGAAAAATATTTAAGACAAATTAATAGGTTATATTAATAATTATATACAGATATATCGTACTTACTTAACACTGCCGAATGGCCCAAGCGAACACCAATTAAACTGCCATTAGCATGCTAAATTAAAATAATAAAATTTCTAAAAAATTTAAATTAAAATTTGGTATTAAAACAATATTTATGTCATACTTTTGTGGACCAGATAAGGGAAGTTGTATCAAATGTTCGAATCTGTATTTAATGAATAAAATTATTAAGATTAAATTAAGAATAATAGAATTAAAATAATAAAATATAGCCATGCCTCACTCATATTGACATGAAATTTTTCTGATAAGTAATAATCTTTTCCGCCAATATAAACGATAAGGCCAGTTGGCAATAATGTAGCAGTATAGCTATAATAGAAAGAAGCTTGGGATATGACCATAGTTGACCAGGTCATATTATTAATATCGAGTATATTCATATCATTATAAAAAATGGTTGGAGAATTATCACTATTATTAACATAATAACTTTTTCCACCAAAAATAAAAACCCTTCCTTTATTATCAGTAACAGCTTTTATTGAATTGCGTGTTTTAAAAGTACTATTAAAATTGATAATATTAGGTATTGACCATAGAGAATGATTATTAGAATCAAACCTGTATACGGATGAATTAAATGCAATAGATTGTGTATTTGGAATAGTTTGTATTCCACCAATTATAAAAACGGTCGAATTATTAGTAGGGCTTACACAAGATGTGCTATCAAGATTTCCTATAGGCATTTCAACATCTTTATACCATGTAGGAGTAGCAGTGTTAAATAAGCTTGAGTTTGATAAATCAAGATACCATACTTCATTGGTAACATTTAAAACTGGCGAAATTCCACCAAAAAAATAAAGTCTATTACCAACTAATGCACTAGTTTGTCCATCTCGGGTATAAGGAACATTTAGACAAGTCACAAAAAATAGATAACTTAATAATAAAAAACAAAAGAGAAAAGGTCGAATAAACATTATTAAACAAATATTATAACTTAGGAAGATTTTATAAAGCATAGTTGAGATTCAATGTAAATAATTTTACATAAAAATTAAAGAATTAATATTTTAGATTGATTTATAATTTTGAATTGAGCTAGAATGTGCGTCTAAAGGGATTGGACATATTTAAGATAATTGCATTTATCAGGACATTAGATTCTCAAATCTGAATGCATAAATAATTCATGGCGTTGAATTAGAGTATGTGTTTAAAGAAAATTGCATTTATGGAGACATTAGGCTCCCGAATCTAAATGGAATCTAAATGAATCTAAGGGCACAAATAACAATTCATATTATGTACAGTGCTTACGTACGTACATACATATATATATATTACAGTATTAAAAAATATTGTATATGATAAAATTTTTGCAAATGATCCAGTAATTTCATACAATTTATATCATACATGCATACTGTTCTAGAAATGCATCTCAGAAATACACTGCATAATAATTCAAATTAGATAAAAGAATAATGATATTTGATTCCCCTTGATAATGATTGGAAATTCCAGTCAGTAATTTCATACAATTTGCTGTCGTAATGCATACTGTTCTAGAAATGCATCTCAGAAATACACGACATAATAATGCATATTAGGTAAAAAAAAAAAAAAAAAAAAAAAGATATTTTATTCAGAATACGACTCCTTGTTAATAATTAGGATTAAGGGAAATGACAGTATAATTCTTATCCGTTTATCCGTGTTAGGATAGGGAGGTTCTAGTGTGGAGTCCGTCAACAGCCACTTTACTACAATAGAAATTAAATTAATATATTCTGTCTACTAAAATAGGTAATACCAGATGATGGTAGGTATGTTCAAAGGATTCCTTATGAATCATACTAATACAATAATATATTGCATAGATCTGGGTAATCGAGTTTATAAACAATCCATTGCATCAAAGTTTCATAAGCGCACCTACGTCAAGAATTCGACATAAAAGAGTTGCCATACATATATTGAACTAAATAATTATTATATGCCTTTATTACTCATTACAACTCCTTTTGCTTATAAAGGTGATAAAATTTGGTGGAACGATAATACTTTCGGTCCCGATTTATAATACTTATACATATTTTACTCTAACGTAGATGCAATTTTTTTACTATGGTCCCAAGAGGATGCTCTTAAGGGGTGCAATTGTATGTTGCATGCATAGGTGCCTATGTACATAGTATTGTACGTACAAAAACAACAAATTTTATGTATATATGTCGCATCTGAAGTAGCGATTTATCTACTTTATATATCTAAAGTAGCGCCCTGGCTAAAATTATAACCTAAGCATGCATGAATATCTAATCTCAGGGGCTTAATTTTAGCCAGGCACTACTTTAGATAAATCGCATGTAACTCTCGATACAGAAAACTTTCGATATAAGAATCTCTTGTTATAAGAAAGTTTTTACCAGTTTCAGTTAGAATTTTGTTTTTTATATAAGAAAGTTTAGTTTGATACAAGAAGTGTTTTGGCTGGACCCGGTGGCTTTTTTTATATCAAGAGTCAGTTGTATTCATTAATATTTTGTATATTATTTTTGTGTAACCGTGATAAACTTTTGGATCCGACGAGTATATGTGTGACCACTATGCAGAGGATTCATTTGCTTATTTATTTTATATGAAAACACATAAACATATATTAAAAATTTTGAAAAAGTAATTTAGATCAAGAAACACACACTTTAATAGCGATGAAGTATTTTATAATCATAATTCTGGTTTTTCAGGTAAACCATTCTTTTAATTATAGAATTGAACTTTATTTAAAAAAAATGCTAGATATTAGTTTAGAATATTTATAATATTTTTGAAATATTTTTAATTAAATAATTACGCAATAAGCTTTGATTTCACGTATTTATATTTAAATTGTCATGTATACACCATTTTGTTAAATGATAAAAGATTTTTACTACCAGTACTACTGCACTATCTGGAATTGCTTATCTTCCACCATATGGCGGAGCATGGCATAATTGTACTCGTAACATAGAGACCATTTTTAATAAAAGTAAGTATTACTATTTTAAAGCCAAAAATTTTTAATATTTCTAATAAGGCAAAATATCATTATAGGCTTCAGTGTTAAACTTGTTGATAATTCGACCCCTATAACTCCGGGATTTGGTGACTATGCTAAAGGAAATTCTTCTCTTAACCGCATTTATGACATCGGTTTTGTAGTATCCTTAAAAGTTATGGATTTAAATCACACTGAACTTAAAGATCCTAAAGATCAACTTTTAAATGTAATATACTATTGTAATACATCCGAATATTCAGTCACTCAATGTGACTCTCAATTTATAGGGTTACCTTTTCAAAATCAAACTGGACTACAGTGGTGCCTATCTATAAAAAATCCATATAATAATAGTCAAAAAGCTAATGTATCATTCGACTCTGATGAAACTTCCACAAATACAAATATCATCAATATAAGCGCAAATGGGGTAGCTCATAATCTAAATAATAAACATCTTTTATTAGTTCTATTAATATTATTTCAGATGTTATGGGAATATTTGTAATTTCGACATTTATCATAGTTAACCATAGTTTATCGTAGTGAAATCGATGTCTTTTTGTATCTGCGACTGTTTATTGTATAGTTTTAATAATCTAAAGAAATAATAAATTCGAACTAAATTTAAATTTTACTCTTTTTTTATTTACTCTTTTTTTATTTACTCTTTTTATTTAAATGTAATTTTTGCAATGATTTCAGTTTCGATTAAGGACTTATTCAATTCCTTTGTTTTAGAATAGATACAGTATAACCTCGATAACGATTTATCTATAAGAACATTACCTTGATATAACAAATTTCTTAACAAAATGTTTATATTATAACTAGTCGCTTAAGTAGCTTAAAGAGAATATGGTGTATTTTACTGTATTGGTATGTAATAGAAATCAATAATTCCAGATCAATTATTATAAAACGCATATATGGTGTTTTGCATCTATTATATGTTTTTAAATTTTCTAAGATTTTATAAAGTTTGTTATAGTAATTCTCACGTTAGGATTAGTTTTTAAGTTAGTATTAGGGTTTGGGAAGGGTTTGCAGGGCGTAGAACATTTTTACTTAAAACACCTTGTACTGATTAATTAGCCAGTCTTTGAAATAATGCATACATAGGTGTAAAACACCATAGGTGCGTTTTAGTAAAAATCATTCCGGATAAACATTTATGCATTTACATTCATTCATATTCAAATTAACTAATATTGAATTCATACTGAATAAGACAGCTGCGCAACATTGTCATAAAAACGAGGAATTGAATATGTTGGAGCATTGCATTTAGTAAATGTATGTGTTTCGCCATTTGGTGTGTGATGTATGGCCGATTATTTAATAAGATAGTGTGAAGGGTGAATTTGGGGCTACCAGGTCCCTCATGGTTAAAGCATAACAAACGTAATGTAAAGACACAAGTAACTTAAAAGAATAACATGAAAAGATTTGGTCTGAGGAACAAGAATCTTACTGCTACTAAAGTTCTGGTTTTAAGGTTTGTCTTTATTAATATTCTATTTCTACTTAACTGCCTTTTTACCAACAGAAATTACTAGACTTTTTTACAAAAAAAATATAACAGAAGTTTTGACACAGACAAACTAAATTAAGTATTAGAAGGAATCTACAAGTTCCAATGAAATATTTATATTATTATAACATAAAGCCATTATTTAATTGTTCTCAATGAGTTTTATTTTAAGTTAAACCTAATATAGTATTTTATTAAATACTCTTTTATATGTGGGATTTTGCAGCTTAGCTTCAGTTTAAAATCTTGGTTCAGAAGGATTTGTTTTAAGATTTTAGTTCAAGTTATGGTCACATTTCCTACATGTTTATAATTATGTTATGTTTTGTTTCTCACAATAGTGTAAGTTCTAAAATTAGTTCTAACATTATTATGGTTACATATGATTGATCATTAAATCAAAAACCTGTTTTCTACCTAAGTAATTGATTATATAAAAAGTAAAAAAAAATTATTTTTCTTGTTTTTCTTACTTTATTATTTCTATTATTCTGAATAAATTGACTTCTTTATAATAATAAAAATAAGGGTTTTAATAATGATATTGTGTAAATAAGCTATGTAAAGTAAGTTAGTCTCAAATAAAAATAAATTCTTTTATTATAAATAAAGAACCTTCTACTAAAAAGAAGAAAAAAAATACTCTTAAGTAAATGCATTTGTCTAATAAAACCAAGTACTTGTTTCTTAATAAAAATAAAAGTATTATCCTAATATTATTAGCTGAAATTTAGAAGTTTCATAAAAGACAAAAATCAAAACTAGTTTCAATTATTACTAAAAAAAAATTAAAAATATTAAAATAATAAAACTAGTAAAATTGCTTAAGTATTAAACTAAAAATCTACTAAAAGATAAAAAATAATAAAATTAGTAAAAGATAAAAAAATTAATAAAAAAAATAATTATAAAATTTATTTTTTTATTTCTATATAAGATAAAAAAAAGTATTATATATATAACCAATTACAAAAATTAAAAATAGTTAATTTTATTATTATTTAATTTATTTTTTCAAAATAAATTAAATAAGAATAAAATAATTTAATTTTAATTACTAAATTATAAAATATTATTGTTTAAATAAAATATTCAAACCTCACCTTAACACAAAAAAAAAAAAAATTTAATTTTTATTAATAAAATTATTTTATTTATTTTTAAATATTTGTACAAATTTAAGAATCTTTTATTAGCTAAAAAACACATTCCATTCAAAAAAATCAAAATCAACCCATATCAAAATGAACAACCAGCACCAACACTTACAC